ACTCCCTCTGCTCCATTGCATCTGTGCTCAAGCATAGCAGCACCCTCCTCACTCTCCTTGTGATACCAGCACCTCCAGCTTCATTAGATTCCCAACATCCTACCAGCAACTGCAGCAGGAAAATGATGGATATAAATGGCACATGTACAGTGTGAGTCCTGCATCGAATCAGTGCTCTGGGCTGAGGGTTCCACATCCCTGCACTGAGAGTCAGAACAGGTACATTTAAAAGATTTTGGCCCCGTTGCAACAAAACAGATTTAAAAAAAAAAAAAAATCTGGTAAGTGTCCTTTAAATATAGACAATCCAAATGCAGAAAGAAAAGCACAGTGACATTTCAATTCTAGTGGTTTGCTGTGAGCCAAGTATACAGCACTGATACTTTTTCAGTTTGGTTATGAGAATTAGTCTTTCCCTTAATTGTTCAGAAATTATTTGGATATAATTTAAAATGTTCTTGGGGTTTTTCTTGGTATACCCTCCATAAACCATGTTATTTTCCTTTCTGAAGGGAATTTCTATTACAGCTCTAGAATTTCACTACAGTCTTACTAATATTCAAAAAAAGTGTTTCACAAGATACATTTTCAGAGAAGTTCAAGTGCTAAAGTAGCCAAGATTACATGAGTTTTATATATGGGACTACACAGCACTGGATTTCAAAATAGCAAAGGAATAGTTCTCAAAATCAAAATTTCTAATACAAATCATGTATCACATTGATTATGGTCAGATAAGATGTAAATATGGCCACAGTTTTCATGATAAAGACTCCTGAGTGCCTGGCAGACTCTGTGATGGGAATTGTGCCACCACCAGGTTATTTACAGCCACTTTCAGCTCTGTAACTCTGCACTGCAATCCTCTAAACTCATTTAGGATACAAGGTTACCATCTTAGAATGAGAGCAAAACTTCAAATGCAACTCAAACTAAGAATGGGAGGAAGAGTAACTGGATCTTTAGTTACAACCCCCGATGAAAAGTTATGACTGACAGCAAGTTCCACAGCACAGCTGTCCTAAGGTTAATACTTAGATCTCATTGTGACTTTGAAGAAAGATGATCCTTGCTGAATTATCCCTCTCCTGGATTTTTCAACACCAACCTCTTTCTCAGGAGATGATCCAAGCAGTAGCCAAAGCAGTTGGTACAGCTTGAAAACAACAATATTATACAGCTCAAATACTAAGATTGTATTAGATTTTTCTGATTATTATGGAAAGAGTCAGGAATCTGAACAGACATCACTGCTTCTCCACAGTTCCTGTTTTAGATGCTTTGCTTTGTCACAAAGGGATTTTTTGAGCTCTCACAGGTCAGTTCCAAAGAACTGGTTACTACAAGGTTTGTTATTTTTGCTGCAGCTCGTGTGTATCTGGTGCCCACCATTCCCCTGGGACATCTGATTTCTGTCATCATCTGCTAATGATCTCAAGTATTTCCTAAACCCCAACATTTCAGAGTTTCAGGATGTGTCTCTCCCTCTTCACATCATCACAGGTTCAAAGCCCTGAGCTCCCATTTGACTCACATGAAAGAACCAAGATCACTCCAAAGTTACTGACAGGAGCAGTTTTCACTTGTTCCTGCAATCAACTGATGACAGTCACAAGTTACAGACGTAACAAAAACCCCCAAACTCATCCCAGTCAACTCTGAGCAACCACACAACAGAGGAAGGATGGAAACACAGAAGCTTGTCCCTGTCTTTAGCCTACAAAAGAAAGCACAATGACAACAGTTCTGTGCAGTCAAATTTATAGAATCCTGACCCTCCAATCCATCACTACAGATACCAGATATTCTTTGAGGTCATCTGGGGAGAGCTCAGTAACTGAGCTACACAGTTGCTACATAATTTTAAAGTTTCATACTAAAATTTGGTGAGTCCACATTTAAAGTCTGCTTCCTGTCCCATCTATTGTGTTTCTGGCAGAAACAGAAACAAATTATTATTGGCCATGTGAATGTCACAACTTGTTTTCAAACTGCAGAGTCTTAGATGTCCACAGGCTCCTCAGAAGTTCAACAACAGCAACAAAAAACCCCCACTCTTGCAGTCAGTGACCTTCAAATCTTTATATGTGGTTCCCCATCCTTATCCAGAGGCTGGAAAAATCTAAGCCCTACAAATAAATAAATAAATATCACTCTAAAGCCAGCTTTATACCAGCAATTTCCAATAGTAACTGTAACAACAATTTTAGCAGAGCTGGAACATTTCTGGCAGTTATGGACTGAGAAATTTATTGACTATAAGACCAATTCAGAAGGAAACTATACTGTGGGTTAAAACTGGTGTCTCTAATCACCATAACCCAGAAAGACATTCATCTATAATTAGAACAATGATTATGGCTGATACTAGATCAGTAGTCTGCTGCTAATTCTGGCTTCAATGTTGAAGCTAAATCAGCTTTCACAATAATGGCAAACAGTCATATTGTTTCCTAACTACAGAAAATCACAAACTGCTACGAAGAACAGGAAGTGACAGCAAAACACTTAAAAGGGGAACTGGAAAGTGCCAGGTTGTACGTATCATATGATCAGAAACATTATTCTGAGAACCATAGGTCAGATTTAGACCAGTGTGATGGATCCATTTGCAACTTCTAGAAAAACAGCTCATTTATAAACACAGTTAAGCAAAGCTGGTCTATACCTACTTTGCAGTAACTCTTCTTGCTGAGCTGACTGGCAAAAGTTACTCGATACCGACTCAGTCACTTCAACAGCACTTCTGAAGGCATCCATGTAACAGAAATTAAGAAACATCTTTCAGCTTTAGAGAAAAATAAGTACTGGAATGCAGTTTCCAGTGTTCCACAAAGTGATTCTTCTCACTGTATTAGAGCTCTCCACCCAAATTCTGTACATACACCAAAGCTGAAAATCTCACGTGGCAATTTTAAGAGATCTGCAATGCAATATAATTAACAGTATCTGAAAAGTGGTTGAGTCAGCTAAAGTATATACAACTATAGACTACTCATGCTTCCCTTTGTTTGGTGTTTAAGGGGAAAAGGACAAATCTTATCACATGCAGCCAAAACATGTTTGGATTGCACTCTGGCCTCCCAAGAATGTGGCTCTGGGAGACAGGCTTTATTCTCAGCAACATATGTGCATCTCCACAGCAGTTTGCTACCTTCCTATGCAGGGAGAAGGCACCCAGGAGGGCCCCAAACTGCACAAGGTAAGTGGTGTGCTGTAATTTATTTAACAATAGATAAGCCAGAAAAAGAGAGAAGGGGAAAAATTCAGTCCTCGGCAGAGCTCTGCTGATTATTATGGACCAGAAAGGAGTATTTCTTTTGCTTCACCCTACATAAATCACTGTGAATTATCAGCACACCTAGCCAAAAACTGCTTTCCTTGAAATCCTGGGGGAAAAGCCTTTACAAAATCCAGCTACAACAGCTACACTTCCATTGGCAATGGCTCTTCTTTCGCTCTGCTCCTGCCATTATTTCTCTCTTACATTTAACGTTCATGAAGCTTTCTGGGAATAAGCAGTCAGTTTTGAAAAACACCTTACAAGATAAAGTCATATTAAAGCTATTTCACTTGATGGGCTCAGGCTGGCTTAAACAGAACCAATGCACTGGGGACACACAATCCTGGGCTATAATAATGTTTTACATTTATATACTGCCTTTCACCCAGAACTCCCAAATTTGGAATACACGAAATGCCAAACAATGAAAAATGACTGCACAACAGAGAACAGAGGAATGTTTGGCAAAGATGCTGTAGTAGATCCTCCCTCTTACAAAGAATTTCATGGCATTTGTGACACCTGCTCTAACCAGAACTCAATGGGCCAGTAAACAGAAGCGCAACTGGATTTTCCTTGCTTTGCCACCACGAAGAGTTTGGTTAAAAAAGCTGCTCAGCATCTGAGCATCTGAAATTCTCAGTTTGTAAAGCAGAAATTATACTTTAACATCCACAGTCAGCACAGTACCTTAGCATAAGGCTGTAAAAAAGGGACATGCAACAGAGGATTCCAGTTGCTACTGAACTCTAAGGTGCCTCTCCGAGGTTTTCCATAAGGGCACTCGGTCCTGCAGTGATGATCCAATGAACGATATCACTGAGGCGGGTCCGGGGAAGGTCATTTGACAGGACATGTCCTCATGAGAACAGCTCAGGTGAAATGTTTACCACACTGAGAGCACCTTCCCACCCATCATGTGGTGCAGCATCAGCCTGCACAAAAACATCACTCAAGGGCAATGCAGTGCACAGAGAATACCTAAAGCATAAGAAACTGTTTGTTCTCTGGCCTTCATGTATCACAGGATGATAAAGGCCTCTGAAACTGCCCTAGAAGGCCCATGTCATCCTTGTCAAAGCTAAAATGTGTATCCTGATGAGCTCTGAGGTCAAATTAAGTGGGCATCAATTCCACAATGGAGGATAATTAACAATCCACTTAATAGCCATTAAGTATTCAACCCAACTGCTCAAGATGGTGATGGCTTAGCCAGTTCAGGGACCACAGGTAAGGCAGGGTTACCAAAGGCCATAAGGGATCAGACACCACACAGACACCAAAACTATACCAAACAGGGTACAACTTCACGACTTCCATTTACACAGGGAACAGAGCTGGATGATCTGATCCCCTCCAAGGCTAAACACCTACAGAGAGGCGAACCAGCAGGCACTGCCCACCCCACCAAGGCAGGCAAAGCCCCTCTGCACCACTGACAGCCACCCCTGGTCCGGACCGGCGCCCACAAGCGGCTCCAGCAGCTGCCAAACAATACCCGACCTGGTCCGCCCCGAACGGGGTGATGTTGGCCTTGACCGAGCCGACGCCCAGCCCCACGAGGACCAGTCCCACGAAGGTGGCGGTGGCGCAGTAGCGGGTGGCTCCCGCCTGGGAGCAGGGCGCGGGGGTGGCGTTGGCCGCCGGCGAGGAGCAGTTCTCCACGGGGAACAGCGGGATGTCCCCGCAGAGGCCCTGGCGGGTGTGCGGCGCGGCGATGACGGGGAAGGCCAGCATGCCCAGCAGGTACAGCGCCATGCTCAGCAGGATGGTGCCGAACTTGCCCAGCAGCGCGTCCGCCAGCCAGCCCCCGAACGGCGACACCAGGTAGGTGATGCCCATGAAGAGCAGCAGCGCCTGGCTGGCCTCGGCGCCCTCCCAGCCGTAGGGCGGCCCGTTCAGGAACAGCACCAGGTTGGAGGTGACGCCGTAGAAGGCCACCCGCTCCAGCAGCTCGGCCAGCAGCACGGCGGCGCAGGCCAGCCGCCGGCCCTGGAACGCGCTGGCCGCCGCCGCCGCCGCCGCCCGCCCGCGCTCCCCGCTGCTCAACAAAGGGCTGCGCTCGCTCGGCTCGGGCTCGTCCATGGCGGCCCCGCGTCCCCGCGGCCCTGCCCTGAGGGAGCCGCACCGGCGGCGCCGGCCCCGCCCCCCCGGCCAGCGGCGCGGCGCCATTGGCTGAGGGCGCTGTCAGTCTCCGCCGGCGGGGCCGTCACGCGGGCGGCGGGGCCGGGGCGGGACACGGCGGGGGCGGAAGCGGCGGGGCGGGACCGGCCGTGAGGGGAGCGCGGGGCGGGCGGGGCGCGGGTGTCCCCTCAGCCGCAGGGCGAGGGCTGGTGAGTCCGGAGCTTAGCTGAGGGAGACAGTGGCTCTCTCTTCGCCGATGTCCCCCCGCCGCTTTGACTCAGATGCTGCAGCAGGGAAATGGAGTTTTACCGAAGCACACAACAGCTCGGGTCGGAAGGGACATCGGGACATCATCCGGTCCTACCCTACTGCCAGGGCCGGGGCACCTGGAGCAGGTGGCACAGGAACGTGTCCAGGTGGGTTTTGAAGGTCTCCAGAGAGGGAGACTCCACGACGTCCCTTGGGCAGCTGTTCCAGCGCTCTGCCACCTCCATGGAAAGAAGTTCTTCCTCACGTTGAGTGAAACTTCTTGAGTTTTAGTTCATGGCCATTGCCCCTCGTCCTGTCGCTGGACACCACTGAAGAATCTGGCACCATCCGCTTGCCACCCACCTTTGAGACATTTCTGTGCATTAATGAGATCCCTTCTCAGTCTTCTCTAGACCAAACAGGCCCAGCTTCCACAGTCTCTCTTCATTACAGAGGTGCTCCAGACCCCTCACCATCTTTGGGGCCTCCACTGGACCCTCTCCAGCAGCTCCTTGTCTTCCTCGTACTGAGGAGCCCAGAACTGGACACAGCCCTCCAGACGTGCCTCAGCAGGGCCAAGCAGAGAGGGTGTGATTTTTATAGCTATTTAATGTATTAGTTCAGGATTGACCAGCAGGGAGGCCTTTCTGCAGCAAAATGTGATAAATGTGCGTTGTGACTTATTTGTCTGTGTTCTGCAGCCCCTGTTGAAGGCGTGGGCACGGCTCAGTGCCCGGGGTGTGCCCAGGGACTCACCACGGATGGGGAGCAGCAGCTGGTCCCTGAGCTGTGTTTGGGGTGTGAAGGCAGGATTACTTGAGCAGTGCCTGCAGGAATTATATAAGTACACACAGAGAATGAACACTCTGACCTGAATGGAATGAAGTGTGTGATTAAAATGAGAAAACAAATTAGTGGTTGCAAGATCAGAACCCTAAGAGGTGCTGTAGTTCCACCATCACGTGTGTTGAGGTAAACATCATGAAAGTATGAAGTTGTCTTGAGCAGCAGATCTTAAAGTCATATTTTTGGCCAAAACAAAGTGGAGAGGATACTCCTGGTTGTGTGTTTTCAGTTAAAAAGGTAAATTGATTGACATCATTTAGTTACACCAAACATCTGGGTATGACTTAAAATTTTTGGAGCAGCGTTGGTAATTGAGCAAGCGATGCTTGTAAAAGTAAATATATTCATTTAATAATGGGCCTTTGTAAATAACATGTGCCATAAAAACGACTCATTAAATATATTTGCTCTCTTAACTAGTTAGCAAATTTTACGACAAAGGACAATGAGGAAAAGGCAACCAGCTGTACAGAGATCTCTTTGTGAACTCCTGTAATGTGACTGATTCTGTAATTTAAAAAAATACATTTCAGCTTTTCCCAGCTGAATACAGTGTGTCATATCAGTTGTGATTACATATTTTTGAGGAGTTTAGCAGTATTTGCTTGAGACACAAAGTAATTAAGCACACTTTGTGTTATTATGTTTTAATATAGGCAGATATTACATTCTAGGCCCTTCATAATTTACTTTGGTGAGTGAGGTGAGATTTTTATACTGACCTATCCAACACCTCACAATGCTGAACAGTATTTGAAATGTACATTACAAAATGTTATTTAAATCTTCAGGTATCAAAACAAAGGTACTCTCACTAAAATTCAGAAGTTACTGTTAGAACTCAGACATTCTCTCTGGCAGCTCAGGAAGGTGGTTTTAATTTTCCTCCAAACAACACTCAGCTACAGTATGTTTAAAACTTGATTGTGATCCATCCTTGATCCTTTCTTTAAATACAGTGAATGCACCCATGTTTTCAGAGACACAACACTAAATGCTGCAAAGACTTCTAGATTGTTATTTTTTTCAGTCAAGACATATATAGCATAAAACCCAGAGTTATCATAAATAGTAATAAAATGTTAAGATCTCTTTGAATGTTTCCTTTATTTCCTCTTTATTTCTTGGACAACTGGTTAAGTTTCCTCATTTCTCAGGGAGCAGGCCTTGTCTTACTTTGATGTTTGCATTTTTGTCTTCTTTGTGTTGCACACTAAATGTGCTGGATGGCTTTTGTCTGGGGTTGGAGCCACGGTGGTGCAAAGTTACAACGACCAGGCTGTTTGTCCTGAGGTATCTCATGCAGATACCAGAACTGCAGCTTCCTTTTAACCCAAAACATGTCCACATTTTGGATCACAGAGGCTCTTTTAGGCACAGGGTGAAGTTGGCACACACACCCAGAGCCAGCCCTTCTCAGTGTGGTGCAGCTGGGTGACCTGTGCTGTGTGAGGGTGCTGAGTGCTCTCAAAAGCCCAAATGTGCTTCACATGAGCCACTTCAAGGCCAGAATCCTGGCCAGATTGACAAAAGCCCTCTACATTTCAACGGGGCTGGAATTTCATGCCAGAAACACTTCCTGAAATGATGATAAAACTACCTTGGTTCTGCCTACCCTTAGATTAGCATTTATGCAAGGTTTGTTGCTCTTCTAAGTTGTAGCCATATTTTTTAGTTGGGATGGGGTTTTAAATGGTCTGAACAATGTTGTGCTGGATTATTTCTAAGTGTTAACTTAGTGAGGTGCAGACAGTTGAACACGGCTCTGCAGCATGAAGACTCATTAGCAAAACATGAGCCTGCCTACCAAAATGCTTACAATTTGCCAGAACATGCTCCAGTATGTGTCTTTACCACTTCTAAACCCTCAATTCCAGAATACCTGTCACCCTCAGAGATCCACACAAGTTATATGAAGAAGTAGTGTTTCAAAAATTATTAAATTTAAGAGCCTTTCTCTGTATGTAGCATATTTTTCTCCCTCTACCCGAGGGAAAAGGAAGATTTGAAGAATAATTTAGGCTGCAATAACCAGGCACTGCAGTCTGCAGACCACCTTTCCCTGTCTTCTTCAGCCCTTGGGGAAATATAAGTATATGTAGCCCTGTGATGAATTACATCAGACCAGGTTATAAGCAAAGTGAGTTTTCTGTTCAGTCAAGCCTGCCCCACTTCTCATCTTTCTCATGGCCACAAATGTCCTGGATGCATTCTCAATGTTTTTACAAGATGTTGAATCAGGTTCAAGGCCATGGATGTCTTCCATCAGCCACCTGTCTCCTGTCAGTCTCCGGGCAGACTCCCTAAACTGGCCTCTCAATCTTCCTGCCTGCTGCCCCACCCATCTGCTCTCTGTCTCTCTGCTTAGAATCAGGGTGAACCCCTTTTATCCTGAAGACTGGCTTCATAGTTTGGGATACACTTTTCTTGGTCCCGAGGTCATATTCTTTTCCCTGTTTTGTTGTACCTTTGGATTCTGCCTGCTGCTGTGCAGGCTGTGGTTCCTCACCAGACCTTTCCCCTGGTCCCTGTGGTTCTCTTTTATCACCTGGCTTTCCTGACGTTTGGAGTGGTCTTTGACCACCCTGTTGCCTTGATCTTTGGACTAGCACACTCCTCTGGCTTTTCTGGTTGTCAGCACCTTATCCACACTTAGTTTTTTCTAACCGTGAGTACGAAGCATCTCTTGGGAGGCTCATGCCGACACGAGGAACAGCTTCAGGAGGCAGTGTTTTGGTACTAACCTCCCCTGATGCTCTTCTGCCCCCGGGGATCTTTATGGTTTCCCTGAGGCCACCATGTGAGCACGTCACCATGAAAACACACAGCGCTATTCACAGGTGCGGGAGGGCCCCCAAACCTTGCACAAGCCCTGGGGCTCGGCTCGGTAGCCAAGTGGCCTCTGCCCAGGAACACCTGGCGAGGCTCAGCCCCGCGGGCGGGTCGGCGCAGGGCTCGGCCGGGACTCAGCCCCGGGCCCGCTCATCCCCCGCTCTCCGCGCTGTTTCCGGGAGCCGCGGGCAGGTGAGGAGGCGGCAGCGGATCGAGGGGGCCGCTATGAGGCTGCTGCTGCTCGCGTGTCTGCGGGCGCGGACCGGCAACGCCACCACCGCCGCCAGGATACAGTAAGTGCGACAGGGAGCAGGGGATGCGCTGCGCGCCCTCGGGGACCCGCACCCGCCTCTGCCCCTCCGCAGCCTCCCCGGCGGGCAAAGGGGGACCCGCTGGGCCGCTGCGGGGCCGGAGGGGCGGCGGGGCCCGCCCGCCATGCGCTGCCCGCGCCGGCGCACGGAGGCGGCTCTGCGGAGCGGGGGGTGTGCGAGGGGCGGCGGCCGAGCGGGGCCCTCACACAGGGCCGGGCCCGCCCCCGCCTCGGGGACGTGTTATCGCCGTGTCCCCTGTGCCACTGGGAGCGGGGCTGTGTTACCGCCGTGTCCCCTGTGCCGCTGGGAGCGGGGCTGTGTTACCGCCGTGTCCCCTGTGCCATAGGGGAGCGGGGCTGTGTTACCGCCGTGTCCCCTGTGCCACTGGGGAGCGCGGGGCCGAGGGGTTCCCGCAAACCCCGTCAATGAGCCGCTCTGCTCGGGGCCGGTTGCTGGCGGTGGGGCTGCGGCGCTCGCGGTGTCACCCGGGTCCCCTCGCCGGCCGCGCCTCGCAGCCCCCGCCCAGCCCGTATGGGTCAGCGGGTTTCCCGAGGATGCCCGCATTGGGAAATGCTCGGGATGAGATGAGATGAGGCAGTGAGAAGGGCAGCGGGGAGCTCGGGAATGAGGGTCTGTACAGGAGCCATCCCGGAGCAGCATCTGTGCAGGAGCCGCTCCCGTTGCTGCCCTGGCAATCCCGGGGATTCAACACGCGGCTCTCGGGGGGTGACGGATGCGGGTCTGCAGCGCTGTGACAGAGCCCCACGAATATCCTTAATGCCCCCATTTAACTCCTTCTGTGACATGTGGGAAAAGGATGTGGCTGACAACGTTGCTATGCTTTGGTTAAAAAAAAAAAAAGTCGCCTTAAAAAGAAAAAAAAAATTCCCAATGGTTTTGACCTCTTGAGGCCCGAGATAAGAATTTGGTTGCATCTTATCTAAAATTCATCCGCGGTTTAGTTGTTTTGCTTAGCATGAATCCCTTGGGATAGCCTTCTGCTATTGCTAGTTTTCCCTGACCTTGATCCGTGTATTATCACATGTGGAATGTTATGCATAGAAATAGTCCTCTGACATTAAGTTTTCGCAGTGGTTGTGTCATCCCTAGTTCAATCTTGGAATTGTGCAGGATTCTATAAGGTAGTGGTAGAACAGACCTGCCTCCTGCCAGTCACCCAGACATTGAAGATATAAGCAAATGGAGTACAAAGACCAGAGAAAGCTGAAGTTTTTGGTATTTTAAAACAATAATTGTTAATAAAATGTTGAGATTAAACAAATACATTCTTATGTTTATAACACACCTTTTTATACCTGTACGTATCAGCACAGTTCCTGTGTGGTGGTTTCTGTGACATTCTCATTTCCTTTGTTCTCACTGGATAATGCGAAACTAGTTATTCTTTAGGACGCCAGCGCTCATTCTTCCTCAATAAGATTATTTATTCTACCTTTACAAATTAAATATTCACTTACCCACTTCTTCCAATTCAATTTTGAAGGAAGTCAGACAAACATTTAGACTGTGGAGCCATTCAGAGCTAATCTAGTGGAAAGCAGGTTTTGCATTATTTCTAGTTAAAATAAGTCTGAATAAGGCAGACAAACAAACATTCTCCAAACTATCTTTTAATTACACTGAGATTAATTGTGAGCATCCTGCGTTGAGATACAGTGGCTTAGCACAGTGCCTTTAGGTGAGTCATGGCAAGCAGCAATTTTGGTAGCCTTCTCCAGCTGTGACTTGTGATGGTGGCCTAAAATAATGTGTTTTAGTAGGAAGGGGTATGGATTTGGTGAGTTACAGCATCTCTGCTGACAGATGGTTTAACATATTACTGTGCTAATGCAGTCATTTGCAGCTGTATGAACACATCTGCAGTGACCTGTGTAGGGTACATCGATTGTTGATCCTGTGGCTTCCCAGGAGTACCTTACACAAAGTGTGGGAATACCTTACACAAAGTGGATGCTGCTTTCTCATGTGCAGAGATCTTGAAGTGGGAAGAAAATAATGAGCAAAGATCAATTTAATTCATGTTCACGATAAAGCTGGATAAAGGATTCTAACAGGAATAGTGCTTGAGAGTGAGTACTGTCATGTTCAGTTCCTATCATAACCTACCATAACTGTTATTTATAGTAATAATATAAATGAGCCTGTTCAGGGGAAAAAAACCCTCTGATCAGGGAAAAAAATGGAGTATTAGCTATCAATTAAGTCCATCATCCTCACTAAAAGGCTAGTCAGGTGACAGCTATCACTAAAACCATCCTGTGCAGATATTTCCATCTAATATTGGTTTTCTTAAGACTTCATGCCATTATAACATGAATAAATCTACATTTCACTTCTCACACTGATCTGCCCCACCCGAGGTTATGGCCACGTGGTAAACTTTGTAATACATATGTTCATACACATAAAATGCATGTGTATCCAATAAACATTTGGCCTCAGTTGTACCTGCATAAATGCTTGTGAATTTATTTGTTCATTCTTTTTTGTCATATTGAACCATGGTAACTTTTGTTTAGGTGTAAATGAAACAGTGACATTGTCTCCGGGTTGGACACTTGCCAGCATAGCTTAATTTTATGGCTTAATAACACTGCATATCCTATGTTTGTGATATTACAGCTGTTCCCATAACTGCTTCGTCCTTTCATAAATAAGATACTCATTTCCTGAGTCTAAAGTAACTGGTGATAAAGGTACCAGAATCTAATTTGGCTAGAAATCAGCTTGCTAAAACAAGTGGTATAATGAATGTGCTGTGGGCCTTATTCGTATTACTGTGGTATCATCTTTAATCACCTTTAAAAATATGAGCAATGAGTAGAAAATACACCACCAAGTAAAAGTCTTTGCATAGGCTGCCATTCTTCAGCCTTAGAAAAGAGATCAAAGAGGGTGTCAGGAAAGAAAAGAAATCAATCTTCTCTTCCC